TAGGGTTTAGGATTTAGGGGTATATACGTGTATGTCGGGGTTATTACCCCAACAATGGAGAATCAAACGGACAACAGCATTGGAACCATTAAATATATAAGAAATGGGTATACAGGGATTGAATTGGAGAGTACGTTGGATTGCAAGCGCAGTCTACTTCAAAGCCATGATGTTGTCTTGTGACTTCAACAAGGAATGGCATAAGCATGACGCAACATTTAAGCAATCAGCATTCGTCTCCTGTAGCATGATGGTTGTTATCCAGCTTAGAGAGAAAACCAACCATAGATCTAGCCATCAAACGCCGCTAGACCATCACTTCAGCCACTAGCCTAATAGGGCACCATGCAGACGGTTGCCCGACAAATGGGGGTTTATCAAAATCAGGGGTACCTTTTTTTTTTGCGGCTCCCCACTTATTTTTTGAAACTACCAAATGGTGATGGTGAGAGGGGATAGCCCAAAGCAAGAAGTCCGTAATCTTCATGATGCCCAGGGTACTGTTCATCCATGATGTTTACCTGAGGTTCTATCGGCACTCGACGGGTGCTTTTGTCTGCACTTTGCTCAGGACCTGTCCACACATCATGGCGGCAAGAATGAGCCATGTTGTAGAGGATGGCAAGAAAAAAGGTGTATTTGGAAAAAGGACAACATGAGCAACACCCCACGCTCACCCAGGAATGCCTGCAGCCCTCCTGCAAACTTCAGGAACTGTCAAATATCTACCGGCACATTGTAACTGCAGCCATTCTAGCATTTGCTCTGCAATGGCGAGTGGGATTCCCGAAGTGGAGCAAGGTCATTCTTCAGGTGGTTCTCAGCTGTTTGCTGCGTGCTCAGGAGTTCTTATTCTCATTTTTACCACTTCTTGCGATTTGTTGTGTTTGCTGTCCAAAAGGAGCTTTGAGGTCAGGCCTCTTCTCTTCCTCTGCCTCTGTATTCTTCTAGGCCGCAGGGGACTAGCGATGACTACCCTTGACCACTGCTGTTGTTGTCCCATAGTTGGAAGGACACGCTTTAATCAACCGGGTGGTGCGCCATCGACGCTTACCGGCGACGGCAGACGCTGCGTGGTGTGAAGTCAAGCTTCCTATAGCCAAGGGTCAAGGATGGAGGGTGGGGTCTTTCAGGCAAGAAGTGGTGAGAGGAAGCTGCATACCAGACGAGTGGTTTTGTGGGGTTCTCGGCACAAGGCACCTCGCTCCATCCAGTTTGCAGGACACTCTTGAGGGTTTACTCTCCGCGCCAGAATCGACACAGTTGTATTGTTGTGACGGGAAAGGCTTTGAGGGGGAGCAAGAACCTTAGAAACTGCCTGCTTTCAATCTGCTGTTCAGACTCCAACAGGTTGGTGGGCTGCGTTGCGATCTACTCTCCCATCACGTCGTGATTCGAGGTGGATTGAACAAGTCATGGTCTGCGAAAGTCGAAGGCTTTAAAGATCTTGGCCTAACCCCTAGACCCTCGACCCCCAAACCCTAAATCGGTGTCTTCCTTGCCGGGATGAGGTTACTTCGAGCATGATGTCTTCTGCTACAACAAGCCGGATGCAGAGAGCCGATGTTTGCGCCATGCCGCTGGATCACTGTTGTGCAGAATGCCAAGTTTTCTATGAAGGCCTCAACACAAAAACCCTAAAATCCTGAAGCAGAATCCCCAAAGCCCTGAACCCTGGAACCTAGAAACTAATCCCCCAAGACAGTACACACTAAAAAGTCGTAAGCCATCCTTGGCCCCAACAAGTGGTCCGACAACAGCTGAGGTTGCATGCCTGGCCACACCAGGCCTCAGTCGGCCTAGGGTTTGGGGGTTTTAGGGTTTAGGGTTTTAAGGGTTTTAGGGTCTTAGGGTTTAGGGTTTTAGGGTCTTAGGGTTTAGGGTTTTAGGGTTTTAGGGTCTTAGGGTTTAGGTGTTAGCTTTAGTGTTTAGGGTCTAGGGTTCAGGAGTTGGGGATCTAGGGGGTTCAGGGGTTTGGAAGTTGGGGGTTCGCAGTTGAGGGGTTCAGAAATTAGGAGATGCTTACCGAAACCCTAATCCCTAAATGCTGGTTTAGAAGCCAGGGGCCCCCTGAAAGGCACCCTAAGCCCTTCGCGTTTTTGAGATTAAGCTTGGAGTTCTTACGCTCCAGCGTCAGACTAAGAAACGTCGCGGCGGAACATTGCAGATGATGGAGGGACGATTTCCAAGCAGAAGTGATGATGTGGTGAATGGCTTTCAGTTTGTCTTGGCTTGAGGATCCTCATGCTGGGTTCTATAGGGCTATACTTACTGGTTGTTAGTAGGGACTAGGGGAATATAATCTTCATATTATCCCAATATATCACATATTCCCCTATTCCTTACTTATACTGAGAACCAGTAAGTATACGGGCTTAAACGCTTAGCAGGCCATTTTTGCTGTCCAGACCGTCGTGGTGCTCCTCGGCGGCCAGGGAGTGTTCTCACCTGATGACTCCTTTACCAGGGTTGAGGGTTTAGGGACCAGCCCCCCTGGGGCCACCCTTAAGTAACCCTAATTAGGAACCTGTAACATAGAGGGGGGGGGAATCTAGTGCGGGTAGTATAGGTGCGGGGCGGGGAACTAGAGGAAGCCATGATCGCCAGTGTCAAACGTGGTCCACCCCTTGAGAATTTTGAAGTACTTGAACGGCGGACGGAAAACCATGCAGACGTCCTTTCAACCTGGAAGGCAATCATGTCCTTAGGGGTACGTTTTCAGGGATCTCTACAAAAAAGATTATAGTATTTTGGGGTCTACACTGGGGTCCCTTGTTTAGGGAAATTTCCATGTGAGTAGTCCTTTATTTGGGGATACTATGGTACCCATTATAGAGTAAGATTATATCCTCCTTTTGGGTTATAGTATCTTATATAAGGAATATAAACTCTTACTAGGTTGAACCACCAAAAAACGCTACTCATGTCTTGAAGACGCAAGCACCCTAAACCCAAAACCCTAAACCCCAAAACCCTCAACCCCAAAACCCTAAACCCAAAACCCTAAACCCTAAAACCCTAAGCAAGCTGCTAAGGAGATGCTCTTCTGTTGCTCCTCACCCGGCACTTACGAGGCGGCACTTTTTCTGGACGCTTTGCAAAGGGTAGGCCCCTGGGATATTTAATATTTTCCCTAATGGCTCTAGTAAGGGACCCTATATACCAAGGGTTTAGGGTTTAGGGTGATTTTTCAAAAGGTTTTAGGGGCCAACCCTGTTTAACATTTTCTAGCCCTTGCTGGTCTACTGTTGTACTGGCCACGAGGCATGTTCGAAGTGGGCAATTCCAGCAAGGAGAATACCCTAACTGCTTTGATGTTTAAGGTCTCCACATGACGGCGGCGGGAATGGCTGGAAATCGTTATATGTGTTTAGGAGGATACGCAGTCAATATCATCATCGCAAGCGTGAGCGGTGTTGGCAGCGAGGGCGGCGTCAGGCAACGATTCGAAGGATGTTGGTCACTAATGGTAGTTTCCTAAAATAAGGGGACCCCAATATAGACCCCAGTATATTACAATCCTTATTATGGGGACCCCCAAAAAGGTACCCCTAATTTTGGGGAAACCCCGAATGTCGATCATATTCAAAACTTCCCTTGATCCATGGCCCGATCCGTAGGATCGACGATGTATCCTTGTCCCAGAGCCATCCCAGACATGTCAACTGGGCCATGCTGAGTTCTGGACAACTTCTAGCACGGAATTTAGCATTGAGGCACCCCAACTGAGCCAGCAAGCTTGTAAGTTCTGTAAGACCAGGGAGGCGTGTTCCACCTCCCAGCCCAGCTTGCAAGCTCCAATCCTTCTCATTATGATTCAGGTACCAATGCGCTTGGTCACTCACGTGGTAGTGCAGGTTACAATGATACAGCAAACAAGCCGTGACAATGCCAGGTGGGAGTATTTGGAAGCTTCTTCACCGCTGCACTTGCTTTGTTGCTTATCTGAGAGCATTGTCATGTGAGGTCTCAGAACAGTGTGTTTACGGTTAGTTTACGGGATTTGTGTAAGGAAGTCACACGCCTGTGGGGCGCTTGTTGTTGCTTTTTATAGAGGCTATTGCATACCTTGATCAAGCATTTGTTTCAAGCAGCTGTCGGGACAGATGCTGGTTTACTTCAGGCATGGTCTTTCGGCTCCAGGGACTACAAACCCAGAATAGACGGTCGCCACAGTTTGACCGCCATGAGACTGGGCGTAGAATTTAACTTCAACGAAACAGTTGGTGCTCTTTTCTCTACCTGAAATTGGATTGCAGCCGAGCTTCTGCTTCCTGTTAAAGTGCACTTCGCCATGGACAGTGGCCAGAACTCCCTAAAACCTAAACCCTGAACCCTAAACCCCCGCACCCTAAACCCCTAAACCCCTAAACCCAAAGCCCTATCATGCTTAGCCAAGCGAGCAAGCGTTGTCGGTTGTGCATGATGAGGCTTTTGGTTTGCTCAGTGCAGCTTGGCAGCAGAGCTTCAGGGCTGACACTTTGCCCTCTGACCGTTGCACCTGTAACTATTCCTGTTTTTATTTACTATGGCTATTACAATTACTGTTGCTTTTGCTATTACTGTTGCTATTTCTATTATATATTAAAGTACTCATTATAATTACTATTACTTTTACTATGACTATTACTTTTACTTTTACTGTTACTACTATTACTAATAATTGCTACAGTTACTATTGTTTCTGTTAAACATCAGGGCTGCAATCGACTTCTTTGCCCTGTGTTTTGTTGTGCCTGTCAGGTTTTTCAACTGCCGAAATTGGGGCCAGCTGGCTGCACAAGTGACTGTGTGCGTCCGTGTACGGAACGCTGCCAATGAAACCTTGTATCAGTTTTATTCACTGCACCGGGGTCAGACCATGCCAAATTGGAGAAAGCCCAGAAGTAAACACACTCAAACCAGCAGCGAAGCCGTTCTACTATGAATGTTCAGCACCCAAGTTTTTCATCACCATGAAACAAATTCTAGCCCTTGTCGGAAGTTTTGGTCTGATTAAGGCAAACCTTCCATCGCCACTCCTGCCAATGAACTCCCTGGCAGTACTGACGTGAGCTTCCCAGTTGAAGTTCGAGGCCCTGGAAGAAAGGAAAGGATTAGGATGCGGTGCAGAACGATGCCGGTACTTGTTTTTGTTAATATCAGTGCTGCTGCTGCTGCTGCTGCTGCTGCTACTCCTCTGCTGCCTTCTCCTGTTCCTGCCGGCGCTACCATCATCGCCGCCCTTGGCGGCCAGCATCAGAGCTGCTGCCCCCACCCCGACCACCACCGCCATTCCCACTGCCACCGCTGCCGACCACCACCGCCTCTCCCACTGCCACTGCCACCACCGCCACTGCCACAGCCGCCACTGCCACCACCACCACCACCACCGCCGCCGCCGCCGCCGCCGCCATCACCGCGACTACTGCAAGTAGTACAGCTATTATAACTACTGCAACTACAGCGGCTCTGTGTGCAACGCGATTTCCAGCAGTGCAGTTATTTGCGTTATTATCATCAGGCATCCAGATCACTTGTCAGGCCACAGAGTTACAGTGAACGAGTACAATGAGCTTCAAACATCCTTTGCCGCTTGACGTTCTTCATCAGCATGTTCCTGAATAAGCATCGTCTTCTAGAGGATTTTCATGAGCAGCCAGCATTGTTGGTTGTGCAGGCGGCTTCTTGCCTTTTCTAAGCCAGGGTGGTGGTTTTTGGGCATTGTGGCTTGAATGAAGATTTATGATGTGACCTGGCATGTTTAGCATTCGGAGTCATGAGATGTCCTTTGTGAACAGGTCAGTGTGCTCATCTTCGTACGCTTTGTAGAGAAGGGTTCATCCATCGAGCGGAAAGTGTCCAGTACCTTTCGGACACCCAAGGCCTTCAAGAAGATAGCACCATCAGCCTCATGTGATGTAAATCTCTGTAAACACACAGCGAAACGCTTTCACAGCCTCTCCTAGAATGTGGAGTACGGAGTGAAGGTGTTCAAAATTATGGTCTCGTTTGAGGTCCCTGACATAGTTGGCCCCTGATATTCATTGGGTTGGGCCCCCACCGACTGATAGCGCTATACTAGGAATATGTAAAGAGCTTAATCTAGTTACCATTACCTCTTGTGGTCACTATTACTGGGTAGGGGCCCAACCTAAGATATTCGGGGAACCCGAAGGGGGAGCCGCAATTTTGACAACACCCCAAAGTGGTTTCGAGGTGGTGGTACTGCTTTCATGCAATTCACGTGTCCATTACATTTTCCATGTTATCCCCCCGCTGATTCTCCAAACCTTAGATAGGGGTCTCCCTTGTAGTTTAGTATAATCCCTAATATATTCCCCAAAAAGGAAACAATGTGCGTTAATTTTCTGGGAAATACTGAGTGTAGCTCATATAACCAACTTTAAACCCTAGTTTCCATATATATATATATAATTTTCCATTTTTTCCATTTGATTCTCCGTTACTGTTACTGGAGGCAACATCCCAAAACCCGACATAATCCGAACCCTCTCCAAAACCCTAGATCAGATCGGAGTTTCCATTTTCTTTTGCATTCCCCATATAGACTGCATGTCCGCATATAAGCTTCAGTCAAGAGCCCCAAGGCCCATGCCCAGTTTCGCCCTAGTAGGGGAAATGGACCAGAACATGCAAACATATATTGTTCCAATGATCGAGAAGCAAATGGACAAGAAAACAGAACATGAAATAACAACTTGGATTATGTAGTGGGTTATAGGGATCGGGGATTGCCAGGGCTCGTGTTGGGTTCCTTTGAAGATTCGAGTGTGTTGCGAAGTTGCTCCAAACCCGTCTATCCTCTGGTTCTCAGGGGATGGGCCAGCAGGGGGGTGGGGTGGGGGCTTGGCAGAAAGAGCGGCCGCAACCAAAAGCGATCGGTTCAACTTTGCTGACAGAAATAGACACAGTCTTACGAGCTGTATGAGAACTCTGTGAGCACATGCTTTAAGGATCACCTTGCTTCTCCTGAAACGGTCCTTGATGCTGGCAAACAGCGAAGACTGATGCTCATTGCAAGCCTGCTTCTCTCAGGTCGCAGCCGGCCGATATCTCATTGCGTTCGTCAACCCAGGTCACTCGTCCTGCTTTGGATTCTGGAAACGATGCCAGTCGCAAGTTTCTACGACGGTAGCTTTTTTTTGAAGGGTTTGCATACAGTGGCATGTGCCATGCCTAGAAGTTTGTCCCTTCCGAAACCTTTGATTGCAGGCTCTGGCGATCAGAGTGGCAAGCGGTTCGAGAGATTGTTTGAAGCACTGCTGGGTCAAAACGGGAAGATTTGCAAGCTTCCGTTTGATTTAGACTCTGGGCTTGGCCTGGCTGGTGATCTTCTTCGACAGCATCGGGATGTGGCCATTCTAGCATGTGGTGGTGATGGCACTGTCACATGGATTTTATCCGAGCTGAATGCAAGGCGAGAGACCGCCTTCAAAGATATTCGGCTACCACCTGTAGGCATCATTCCCTTAGGCACTGGCAATGACTTAGCCCGGTCTCTCGGATGGGGCCCTGCCCTCACAGACAATTTCCAGCTGCTTTCCTATGTGCAGCGGGCTCTCAGGGCAGAAACTGTCCTGCTCGATCAGTGGCAGCTCACCCTGAGACCGACCCACCTTCTGCCTCCGTCACTTCGCCAACGCGGAACGGTGGAGTTTGTCGGGTATTTTACGAATTACTTTTCCGTGGGGATGGACGCGCATACCGCATACGAAGTCGGCAGAGTGCGGTCCTCCGCGCTGGGCAAGTGTTGCTTCAGAACGCGTTGCTGCCCGCCTTGCCGATTCCTTCACGGGGGCTTGCTCTGTTACGCTCTCAATGGGCCCAACTGTGCGAGATGTTTGTGCTGCCGCACCCGTGCGCTGAACGAGGATTTAGAGGTCAAGTTTGATGATGATCCGGGTACAATAACATTCCCAACGTCCATCCGTCAGTTTACACTGACGAACTTGAATTCATATGGTGCCACGGCCGCATAGCAAAATTGAAGGAAACATGTTCTTAATCCCTCGCCAGCATTTTGGCGAGGTGCAGGCATGCTTCTGTACGGAAGCGAGACGGTCAGCAGTCAGGCCTGTATGTGGCTGCAAATTCACTTGGCCCATTGTTCACATGTGTGGGTGTTCCCCATGAGGTCAGCCCGAACGATGGGAAGCTGGAGGTTTTCACCAGACACGGTCCCTACGCAGAGCCTTGCCTGTGTTGGGGCAGGCTCTCAGCTCCGCATGCCTCTTTGTCGGCCTCAGGTGATTGGTATGACCCTTGCCAAGAAAGTGCTGAAGGCCCCGTGTGGCAACGTCGAGATTGCCTTCCAACCGCGGAGGGTGGAGATGCGGCTGAAGAAAGGCCCGGCGGTCACAGCAGGGCAAAGGATTTGATTTGTTCAGACAGACTGAAGCCTAGACCCAGCCAGGGCAGCATTTCCAGATGGATGGGGAGCCGTGGGTTCTGAACGCTGCATGCACGGCGGTGATTGAGAGGTTCCTCGGCCAGCGCGGTGGAGCTTTGCATTTATTTGAGTTTGGCCTGTTGCCGTTAGCGCGGCTTCGGTTATCATGATAGACCAGCAACTGCTGCTTGCACAAATGCTGTTCTCAGATTTGCTACTGGTGTGCATCGTGCTGGCATCTTTTTTTAGTTTTGTGTGCGGGCTGCGCTGCTGATTCTGCTGATTCTGCTCCTCCCCGTACTATTCATAGTGGTCCTGATAATGGAGTGGCCCGTAGCATGACAATGACCAGAGTGTCAGAGTTTTTCTTGCCGGTGGTCCGGAACTTGAAGTGCAAGCTGCATTCAAGCGATGCCGCGACTTGAACTGTAGTCTCCAACAGCATGCATATCCTCGTACATGATAAGTCTGAGGATGCAGGCCTTGTAATTGGCATGGTTTTGTTTGCGCGGGCCGCATCTCCCAAACATCGGCTTCAATGAGCCTAGCAAATTGGAACTCAGCTAATCTTCCCTAGATCCTCATGAAACCTCCCATGCCTCTTCAATTTTGGACCCAACTCCGCTTGCAAGCAGAAGGCATACCAAAGTGCGTATGCTATGCCCACATGAAGAAGGTCAAGGAGCAGGCGACAAAGTTGCAGTTCAGGCTTTTGTCGTGCAGGCAGCTAGCAGCTAAATGATGCGCAGGTGTATGGTCCGGATGCCAAAAGCGGCACTTCTGGAACACACGGCAAGGTGGGAGGGTTGCCAGCCAATCAACGTTCTGCTTTGAGAGTATTTTATTTGGGGATACTATGGTACCCATGATAATCCTCCTTTTGGGTATCGTATTTTATATAAGGAATATGGGGGTTTCCCAAAATTAGGGGTACCTTTTTGGGGGTCTCCATAATAAGGACTATAATATTTTGGGGTCTATATTGGGTTCCCCCTATTTTGGGAAACTACCATACTATCTTACTAGGTTCAACCACCAAAAGAACACTACTGCTTTGTGGTTGAGCGTGAAGGTTCCGCGGCATCAACGGGCGAGCAGGAGCTCTGTGCGTCCCTGGCATCTCAGAGGAGCACATAGGGTTTAGGGATTTAGGGTTTAAGGTTTAGGGTTTAGGGATTTAGGGTTTAGGGTTTAGGGATTTAGGGATTTAGGGATTTAGGGTTTAGGGTTTAGTTTCCATTTTCTTTTCCATTATCAACCCTACATAATATAGTAGTTTCCATTTTCTTTTCCATTATCCCTATATAATCCCTATATAACCCTAAACCCTAAACCAAAAACTTAGTCGTGACTGCCCTGCGCGAGCGTTCAAAACACAGGGGCGAGGCGGTCCCGACTGTAGGCTGGCAACGTAAACTTGGCAGTTTCCCAAAGTGGGAATACCCCAACATAGACCCCAAAATATTATAGTCCTTATTATAGGGACCCCTAGAAAGGTACCCCTAATTTTGGGAAACTCCCATTTGCATCGGCTCAGTGGTTTGACTTGGTGACCCCGCCGACATGTTGCTGCACAGAGTTAGAAATGAGACAGCAGGATCACACCATCTTAAAGAGCAAGCTTGTAGAAAGCATCTGGTAGTTTCCATAAATAGGGAAACCCCAATATAGACACCCAAATACTATAATCCTTACTATAGAGACCTTAAAATGGTACCCCTAATTTCAGGAAACCCCCCTCGGGAGCCTTGCATGAACATTCATGTTGTCATAGCTTGAAGATGAGGCTTGTAGAGTTTCGACGTGAGGTGCAGACCCTCAAGCCTTAGCCTTGCCAACATGCCGCACAAAGCAGCCACCGCAACACCAAGATACTTATTGATGGTTGAATAGGGAACAAGTAATATGCTCTCTTTCCATCCCAACACTACATACATGAATGAATAGATTACACATATTTACACACCCCCTAGTAGCACCCAGTACGGATAAGAACTGCCATTTCATGTCATTTGCCGGCAGCCCTTGTGGTCTGGGCCTCGGCGCGATTTTGCTCGGGTGTAGGGTTTAAGGGTTTCGAGTTTAGGGGTTAAGGGTTTAGGGTTAAGGGTTTAGGGTTCAGGGTTTAGGGTTTTGGGTTTTGGGTCTACTGGTTACTGGAATATCAAAAGGAAACGAACATGGAAACGGCAATGGACACTGGGGTTATCTTAGTAGTGCCAGTATAGGTTTTAGGCTTAACGTATCCATTCAGCAATAAGTTCACTGGGTAATTTCTGAATTATGGGCTTCTATATTAGAGGTACCAATATGGGACCCTAGTTTTGGGAATTACCCGTATAGTACAGCAGATCACACTGGAGGATACCATTCAACATCGCGCTGTCTCAAGTGCAGCAGCCTCTCAACTCTTTCCAGGAAATTCAGTAGGTCGGGATTACGGAAACTTCTAGTACATGGCACGTGTGGATTTAACCCCAACACTATCCCTGTATAGGCCTTGATAATCCTTATAATTAGCACTGATAATTTAACCCCTTTCGATACTACTTATATGATCTTTGCGTTATCCCTGTATAAGCCTATACAATCTCTAGCTAATGCATATATGCCACCTATATCCTAATCTCCAAACCCTAAACCCCTAAACCCTGAACCCAAAAATCCTAAACCCCTAAGCCCTAAACCTCCTCGACCCTAAAGCCTAAACCCAGGACCATGGCGGAGAGCTGCGGGCAATGGGATGTCCCTGGCTTGCTTTCTTGGGGTGCGGTTGTGTGTAGGGTTTAGGCTTTATGGTCTTGCGTTTTGGGGTTTAGGGTTAAAAGAGTCGGGCAATTTTGGCTAATTCAGGGGGAACCTAACGGGAGGCAGTAGAAGGGGGTGGTTAGGAGAACCAGCCCGTTCATAATCATCAAAGAGCCCCTGCCTAACCCCTATATAATCCCTATATAGCGCCTATATAACTCTTACAGAACCCCTTTTTTTCTAACAAGGGCGGTACTTTTTCAAACTGCCATTTCTGGTTTCAAGGTGTTTTTCCCTAAGCCCTGAACCCCAAACCCTGCGAGCAGAGCTCAGAACTGACCTTACCAGCATGGTATTCTAGTAGGAAAAAGGTCCGATAAAAACCCCTAAACCTTCAACCCTAAACGCTAAACCCTAAACCCTCAACCCTAAACCTTGAACTCGCAACCCTAAAACCTAAGGAGCCAAATTGGGAACCACCCTTTACAAGCGAGCTCCATACGCTACGTGGACCCCCCCACCCAGTAATAGTGACTACAAGGGATAATGGTGATTATATTAGGATCCTCTTATATGCTTAGTATACCATTATTACAGGGTGGAGCGGTCCACCTAATCCATCCGCAGGTATCCGCAGGTTAGAGGGTTTGATGTCGTTGGGGTCAGCTCTCATGTTTGCGATGTGGCCGACTGCTGATTCTCAAGAGCATGTGCTTGGAAAAACAATCCCAATGCAGAATGCTGAGCAGCTGGGAAGAATCCAGGTAGTGGTTGCAGGTTGGTGCCCAGCGGCATCGCTTGCCACGTTTTGTTAGAAGTACCGAAAAGGAAAGCGGAGCTAGGTCGGGATGAAAATTGGCAACCAGCTACCCCTGTTTCAATTTAGGCGAGTAGCAAATGAGGACAACACCACTTAGAGAGACTCTCTAAACCCAAAACCCTCAACCCTCAACCTTATATGGCAGTTTCCCAAAATGAAGGTACCCCAATATATAGACCCCAAAATACTATAGTCCTTATTATAGGCACCCCCAAAATGGTACCCATAATTTTGACAACCACCCATATATTCCTTTACAGGGACCTACTTATTGGGTACAAGTCATGGATCCGGCAGCCTTGCTGGATGCTGTGACCTCGCTGCGGGGCGCCTTTGCGCGAAGGGAGCTCCGCGACGAGGCACTGAGCCGCTCCCAGCGGCGCCTGCGGGACCGAGGTGTGGAGAGGGCGCTGTCGAAGCTAGGCTTGTTGAGAGTTTAGGCTTTAGGATTATGGGGTTTAGGGGTTAGGATTATAGGATATTATAGGGTTTAGGGGTTAGGATGATGGGGTTTAGGGGTTAGGATTTTAGGGTTTAGGGGTTAGGATTATAGGATTTAGGGTTTAGGATTATAGGGTTTAGGGTTTAAGGGTTTGGGTCCTTGCGCATTGAGATGTCAGTTCTTTTGGCTGGTAATTCATGTAGACCCGTGATTCATAAACCCCCTCCTTTTAAGGGCCTCAATACTAGGATCCCTTTTAGAATTCCTATTAAGGACAGGGTTTATTAAAAATGGGTCTACATCATTTTAACCCGATCAATTTGAAGTGTTCTGAGATTGTCGCAACAGCCCAGGAAGCAGGCACAGGTCCATGCGGAGGAGCTTTCGAAAGACACCAAAACCCCCTCCCCCTAACATTAAACCCCCTCACCCCCTAATATTAAATACTCCCATTATGTGGTATAATATAATCTATTTGGAGTATTTAATATGAAGGGGGGTTGGGGGGTTCAATATTAGGGGGAGGGGATTAAAAAGGCAAAGCCACATTAGGCGCTGCTTCGGGTTGTCTGCAATGTCCACAAGATGACCCCTGTATATCCTCTAGTATAATATCGTATACTCTAGTAGACTAGATTGGGAAAAGGCATTTGAC